GTTGATGATCACCTACGTCATCAAGCTGCGGGCACCAGCAAGGACATCTTGTAATGGCCGCAGATGTGCTGTTTCTCAGTTATTATAAATATTGCAAATAGGTACTATCCTTATAAATAAACTGCATAGCTGCAATCTAAACAACTACAATATAACCTAAAAAACTCAAAAGTGCATTATGTTGACCAACAGTAGCAATATTTGTCAAACTGTAGACCGTCCCCTGCTTGTCACTGTACGTGGGTGGAGTAATACACAAGGGTGAAGGGTTAAAAGGCTGGACAAGTGCTGTTACTGGCAGAATTTTGCATGGATATAAGCCAGATATAATCAGATTCAAGAACCAAAACTGAAAAAGAACTGTTTTATAAAAATGTTCATTATTTCCTGATGGTTAATGTAATTGCAAACTGATTCTTTCGAGCAGTTCAAGAGAGCGTGTCACATGCTAAAAAACATTGGTGTGACAGTCTCAAAGGAAAACATCTGGTCTCCTATAACTCCCATCACATTCATATCAGTAGATTTCCACAATATCAGTTACATGCACATCAAAAAAAAAAACTATATAAAGGAAATCACAAAGCACAAAGATTCAACAAAGATCCATGTAGCTTATGGAAGTTCTCCCTCCTCTCTAGACGCAACGTCAGCATCTGTTTCTTGTTGCTATCTGTATTAGCCCTCTGGGTTTTGATAAGTCTCATATAGGAGTTTTTTTTTTCCTTCAAACTGACACGACTGACACCTTCCAGGTGGATCATATTGCTGTTTGCTCACACCGAACGCGGCAGGAATCTGTGGAATGACAGACTACAGTAACAGACTACTTATCAACAGGGACAAAAACTCAGACCGGAGTGGATATATCTTGATTGTGACATACAAAGAGCCAGGAATATCTCTCGAGATTCCTGAAATATTTCACAAACCTTTGAAAAACAGTGTGATCTGCTTTATGTCCAAAGGTCTTCCACAGTAAATAATTACACATTACTACATTTGAGGAATTCAACTGTTTGAAGGATTTCATTATAACACTTAAACTACTGACCACCATCTCAGAACATGATTTAAAGTAGTAAAACTATGTAAAAAAAATGAATGATTTACAAGCAAATGTGTATGATATGAACACTTTACAATAATGTTCCATTTGTAAATGTTATTTAATGTATTTACTAACATGAACTAAGAATGAACAGTACTTTTATAAATTATATACTATTGAATTATTAAAATCCATAGTTAATGCGCTGTGAGTTAACATGAACTAATTTTCATTCATTAACAAACAAAGATGAAAAAATACTGTAATAAATGTGTTGTTCACTGTTTATTTATGTTAATAAATACATTAAATTAAATTAATAGAATATTATTTGTAAATTGTTATTGAAAAAATTACGATGGGCACAATTTATTCAACCCAAGCTCATTCTAAAAACGTAGCCCTGCAGACGTTTCTGGAGACTGCGATTTACATGGCCAGAATGTATGGCTGCATTTCGTTTTTTGAAGCGAACGCTACAGGGTGGTGTTACGCCGCTCCTCTTTGCGCTTGCCAGCTGACGGCTCACCTCCTCACTAACAGGTTAAAGTCCAGGGAAGAACGGTTCCAGAAATCAGGTAAGACAAAAAACAGAATCCAAAAAATAAAGCGAATGAGTTCGTAACGCGTCAAGAATGGGGTGAAATCCAAAACGCGGTCAAAATCGGATGAGGGCTTTTCTTTTTCTGGACGGCTTTTGTTAATCGTCGGTTGGGTTTAGGGAAGAAGGAGGAGGGTGGCTGGGTCGGCCGATTGGCCGTCCACCAAGTCAATCGTTCAGTCATCAGTCAGTCAGACAGACAGTCGCTGAACAACAGCTCCGGCGGCTTTGCAAGCAAAAACAGCGCGAGAGCAAACCGTGCGCGCTCATGAGAGGCATTCGAGACACGAAAAAGCGCACACGGCGGCTTAGCGAAAACAAAAACTGCATAAATACGTACCTCCCAGGACGTATTTCGCGGTCTCTAGAAACGTGCGCGGGGCTAAGTTTACAGGATGAGCCTGGGTTGAATTTATTAATTAATTTTCTTGATTTACTAGATTTCACACATGATTTACTAATTCATTACATTGTTGTACACAAAACTCGAACTCAATATATTAAGTTGTGCCTTCAGTTTAGGTAATGTGTCTATTTACACATTATTCATAGTAGTAAATCCGGGGAGCAAACTAATAAATCATGACCTGGTTCATTATTTTTGTCTTGAATTTCATATCTTGGGCTCCAGAATAAAACCTTTAACAATTTAGCCCACTGAAATAAATCCAAATGTGAACTGATCCATTTTAATGGGTCAATTAGCAGGTTAAGAAAGAACATAGATATATATCAATGCAACATATAACAGAAATATATATCAATATATATATTAATATAAAATATAACATAGATATATATCAATATATATATGTACAAATATACCACATTTGTACAGAGCTTCAAGGACAAATGTCATTCAACTGCACTAGTCAATATTAAAGCCAATTTAAAGATGCCTGGCTTTAGAGAAGCATATGAGTGTAGTGACAAGCACACAAAGCAAAAAAAAAAGAAAATTGTTTTAAAATTATAATTTATGTAATTTAAATAAATATTTTGCATACTAACCATCGGGAAAACTCCTGATCATAGATATATGTATATATATATAGCGCTGGCTCTGGATGGCCAGTCCTCCACTGCACCTTGGTCCCACATTCATTTCAAAGAAGCGCTACACTGTACTAAAATGGTGGCACTATTGACGCATTTCGTCCAATAGACAACAACAGCGTAAGTGACATCTAATGTAAATAATCTCTAAAAATAGCTTCACTCCCAGGATGCGTAAAAAAACCTAGTATATCCAGACGCCTGTAGGGCCTCAGAAGTGAAGAACGCCACCATCCCTCACTGTCCTGAGACACACGCCTGGAGGAGACGAACTGCTCTAACCATGATCCTTCCAGATAAAAACTCTAGAGCAAATATTCTAAACATACACACACAAAGACACCATGCTTGGTTGTTTTATGTTATTAATGGCCCCCGGGAGTTTAATAAAACTTTAGGTTATGTAATAAGTTTTATTGAAATTCTGGGCTTGAGGTGAACATTTGGGTAAGAATGTTGAGAATCAGGCAAGTGCAAACTCGGGCAGCATGTATGTGCTTGTGCTGGTGGTCTGTCATGCGGGTGGAAACTAACAGTCATTTTAACTCCCTCCAGGCACAGGAAAGAGAACTTCATGAACAAAATGATTTCAGCCTCCTTCTTTGGCACATTTACTGAAAGAAATGTCCCCGGGCTAATAGTTACATAAATAAGAGTGTGTACGGACAAATCTGTGAAAATTTGCATATTTGCAACAGTGTAGCAACAACATTTGCATATTTATGTTCAATTGAATCTTCCTATATAATTTTAGCTTTAACAACATATCACTGCATTTTATAATGTATTAAAACACAAGAGGACTTCTGTAACAAATAAAGGACAAATACTTCTGACTTAACTACAAAAAAAATCTAAAGTTTTTTTTCATAACTTTATTAAAAATCCAATTTATTATGTTATGCTCACCAAAGTTGCATTGAATTAAGTAAAAATAGTAAAACCATTTAGCTATTTAGTTAGGTATTATTTTAAATGAAAATCATTTTGAATCTATTTTAAAGAAAAAAACTTTAATATACATTATATTATTATTTTATTAAGCTGAATTTTAAGAAAAATGACTACAGATTTCAGAGTCATATGACTATTCAGAAATCCATCTAATATTGTTATTTTCTACTATAGAAATTATTAACATTTGTTGGGAATGTTGAGAAATAAGGGTACACTTTTGTAATATATAGACATAAAATTTAGATTATGTATAGTATCTATTATATTCTATTACATTCAACAATAGATTTTTTCTCAAATAAATAAATAAATAAATAAATAATAATAACCCGCTCCCGCCAGGATTTTGTCTGAACTCGACCGCTCCCGCTTATATTCAGCATTTGTTGTCCAGCTGCCCGACCCACCCCACTTTCAACCTGCTGTGCCCGTTCCCGCTAACGGGTGGGGGGAGAACAAAACTGAAAACCACCCAGCTATACAGAGTCCAGAAAGCCTATAACAAGCTGTCTGTATAAACAAACACACATATAAACACACAGCACCAAACAAGTGACACACACACAGACAGCACAAAGCTCTCTCTCTTATTCGCACACACACACACACATATAGACAGCAACAAACAAGCTAAATACAGCATCATGCCCTCTCATTCACACACAAACATACGCATGCTTGGAAAATACCAGAGTTTCTCACCTCAGTATCTTTGTCTTGAAAAACCCCCTCCCACCCCTACTCCTCCTTCCTTTTCCTAAATTGGGCTGCAGGGTGGCCCAGTGATTAGCACTGTTGCCTCACAGCAACAATGTCACTGGTTAAAAGTCCTTACTGGACCAGTCGACATATCTGTGCGGAGTTTGCATGTTCTCCCCATGCTTGTGTGGGTTTCCCGGTTTCCTCCCACAATCCAAAAACACGCAATATAAGCAATTTGGCACTATAGACGAGCCCTCAGTAAGCAGCATACTGTAGCTAACCCTACAATCTGCCATTATTCGTAAACAAGTCAGGGTTGTTCATAAAGATCTACCTGAACTCAACCTCCCCTCTCACCCTGATAATGGAAGAGAGCCCAGGGCTCAAGGATCTTATAATCTCAGGGTTCTCTTCTGGAACAGCATGCAAAACAGCTTTATTATCAATCATCATCTAACTATGAACTCTTGAATGAAGTCTTATCTCTATGTCAACAGAATAGTGCATTTAAAAAAGGTTTTCCAAGGTTGTGGCATATTCACATGCGTTGAAATGCTTATCCATTTGACCTGAAGTTTGAGCCTGACATTTAAAAACACATAAATAAATGAAACATTCTTAAAGGTCACTTACTTGTAGGGATCATTGGGGTCTTGAGCATTACAGGCCTCAGCGTGGCCATTACACACACATCTCCCTCCGATACTGATGTCTTTAATACTGTAGTAATACTGAGGAACAAATGCACAAGATGTTTTAGAATTTAGGTTTAAAGAAACACTCCACTTTTTTGAGAGTATTAGGCTCATTTTACAATTCCCTAGTTGAATTTTAGCATTTCAGAATCCATTCAGTTGATTTTCGGGGCCTGGCAGGAGCACTTTTATCTTAGCATAAATCATTGAAGCAGATTAGACCATTAACATCCCCCTCAAAAAAATTATTTTACTATTTAAAGCTTGACTCTTACACTTAGACACAATGTAACTACAGATAAGTCAAGCTTTAAATAGTAAAATTATCAAAACTATTTTGTCATTTTGAATGAGATGCTAATGGTCTAATCTGATTCAATGATTTATGCTAAGCTAAGCTAAAGGTGTTCCTGCCAGACTTAGAGATCGGGTGAATGGATTGAAAAATGGTAAAAATCAACTGTTTAACTCTTTGTAAATGAGCCTATTTACAAAAAACAGATCACATGACGAAGCTTTGTTTGTAATTTCTGTCCATTCTAAAAACTGAAGTGTAGTCTTACTCTTCGTGTGACTGTGGGGTCTCTCAAGGTTTTGCCCATCAGGTGACCCAGCAGTGTGTTGGTGCGCAGAAAACGCAAGCGGATGTTGGTGGCTTTGGTGAACTCCCTCAAAACGGGAGAATAGGAGAAGTTCATGGCTCCGGGTCGTCCATTTACCAGAGACACCACAATCTGAACAAATGTGAGATGTGAGATACTATTTCAGCACCAAAAGTAAGTCTGTATATCTACAAAAGCGTAAGCAGGAGAGATCGACCAGTGTTGGGCCATGAATTCTACATTTCCGTACCTCTCCATTCTCCAATGGGACAATTCGAGAGTACTCTGTTGTGCAGATGACATCGTCATCATGGTAGATCCGCTCGATAGTCCTCTGGCCAAACCGCTCAATGCAGTCTCTCTTTGAGGCTAGAGTAAAAAACAGACAATGAACAAACCAGTTGAGAAATCTATTATCTATTTTTATTGGAACAATCATTGTAAGTATTTATCCATGTACATCATTCATTTATTCATCTTCTTTTCGACTTAGTCCCTTTATTAATCTGGGGTCGCTACAGAGGAATAAACAGTCTAGGTATTAAGTGTATATTTTACACTTCAGATGCCCTTCCAGCTGCAGCCCATCATGTTTCCCAATTCAGACAGGGTGCCCGAGCATACTGCCCTAGAGGCGTTTCAAAGATGAAGTGACTTTTTTTAAGCCTGGTTTATACTCGATGCTTCCGCTAGTTCACTTGAGTATGCGCGGCGAATGTGACCTCTTCGCGGAGTTTGCGGAAATTTGCTTTGGGTGTGCGCGACATGATTTTGGCTGGCGAAGTACATGTTTTGTTTTTTTTTGAGACTTGAGCGAACAGTGTGCGGGTTTCAACTGTGTTTGATTTGAGTGAAATATGAAACACTTTGCAGAGATTTTGTCTGAAACAGTATGCCTGTACAGACACCTTTATGATCAGTGATCATAGAGATAACCAGATGATCAATAATTCTTGGCTAGAAATTGCAACAGCGATGGACATTTTTCAAATGGAGGACATTTTTTGTTAAAAGGTTCAGAAAAACATGTTGGATGAGTTTGTGTAAGCCTAAGGAGGCCATGGCAAAAGTGGAGACCCAGGTACACAATTACAGAAATATGTTTTTCCACCAGTCATAGGTTTTAAACGGATGTATATGTTACAATTTTGAACGTAAAATAATTTAATATTTACAAAACTGTAATGAAGGAACAAATCATTTATTTGATAACTGGAAAGGAATATTCAAACCTATTTAAAACATTAAGTATTACAATATTACACTGTTTACAATACACTGATGCCCTGTTTTTCTAGGCTTTACTGGTGATAATGGTCAGGACTGTTGGACCATTATTGCCTTTTTAGCACAAGTAGAGGACAGAAACCAGCCAGACAGTAATCAGAGATATAAACACACACACACACACACACACACACACACACATATATATATATATATATATGTGTGTGTGTGTGTGTGTGTGTGTGTGTGTGTGTGTGTGTGTGTGTGTGTGTGTGTGTGTGTGTGTGTGTGTGTGAGTGTGTGTGTGTGTGTGTGTGTGTTTATATCTCTGGCTCTGGATGGCCAGTCCTGCACTGCACCTTGGTCCAGCATTTATTTCAAAGGAGTGCTACCCTGTACTAAAATGGCGGCTCTGTTGACAACCGCATAGGCGACATCTAATGAAAATGATCTATGAGCAGGAATAACATTGTTGCTTTAGTTACTGCAATAAACAGAAACCATAACCTCAAATCTAGCAGGACTTTATCCATTTCATAAACTACATAATTAAACTCAGTCAAACTTAAGCATACAACTATACATTGCATGTTTAAAAATTACACAAAATACCTTTTTACACAAAACAGACTTTTTAATACTTTTAAGCACTTTACATTTCTCTAAATTGCTTCACCAACTTTTAATAATGTTAAGACTCCATAGACACCTTGAATACAATCTGCTACTTGTAAAGTCATGACAACACAAGGCTTTCTTTCTCCATTGTTCTGCTTTGTTGTGTGCAGAGTCATGAAGAAAATTGTAGGCTGATGAATTGTGAGTTTGTGAGCAAAACAACTGAATATTACATTTCATTATGCTGATAATGCCAAACCTTCAAATGCCACCCAAGGATTGTAATCACTGTTGTCAGGATTGTGTTGCCACCTACAGTACTGACGGCCTTCAGTTACAAACAAAACAAGATATGTGTGTTTGCAAACGCTGACGCCGGAGGACTCCAAAACCTGACCTTTATCACGTAACCCACACTTTTATTCCCAAAATGCAATTCTCCCAATCACTGAACGCCTCACAATGCTCATGAAGCTATTTACAGTTTGATGAAAAATGAAAATAAAGATAAGACATAAGATAATAACACAGAAGTAATTGATTTTAGATTTTACTCACAGGCGAAGAACTGCCATGGCTGGTATGTTTTGCCAAAGTCAATGGAGCGCTCGAGCACCCACAGGTCTGGTCGGGGCGAGTTGGCAAACTTGATAAGCACATATGCAACATGGAAAAGCTGTAAAGAACAAAAACAAATAATTATAAATAAAGGTTCATAACATGAATCATTTCTTATTTGCATGTCAAATACTGTATATTAGCCATCAACCATCTATCCGTAATCTACAATGGCCAACAAAAATCCCATGCTGGTTGATCATAACTTATAAGCTGCCAAGCTTGAAGTTAATAAACTAACTCTAAAAATACTAAATATTTAAAGAGATTTACAACTCAATATTTCAAAACCTTTAACTCGTCACAAACATGTTTGACTATTTTTTGGTCTGTTAAACAAAAAAAAGAAGATATTCTGGAAAAAGCTGAAAACCTGTAACCACCCAATGAAGTCAATGTTTACAAGTTCCCAGCTTTCTTCAAAATACCAAATATTTTATGTTAAACAGAATAAAGACAATCATAAAGGTCTGGAACCACTTGAGGGTGAGTAAATATTGGGGAGGAACACATAACCAACCAGTGAGGATGATTGGTCTGTGAACGGTGTGTAACTGAGAATGTGATGAATGGCGAGTAAATTTCCATTGACTACTAATCAAATGCAGACTAGTGTGGGTGTTTACACACAAGCACACAAGTCAGTGAAACACACCAACGACCAGGAATCAGAACAATGGCAAATCCAACAAATTCAAAGTTAGCATTTGCAAACTGAAAATATAAGAACTATTTTTTCCTTGTTGAGGTGAAAGGCAAGATATTTATGAATCGTGCAACTTAAGCCCAGGAAAAAAGAAGTCTCTACGTCGGTGACAAGTAATTCTAATCCAATGAAGAACCTCGTGTTGTCACATGCCACCACAAAATTTGTAGCTAAGTCTGGTTTAGCTCAGCTACCAAATCCGACCTACGAAGACTACATTGAATAGTTCGGACTGCAGAGCTGATCATCGGTACAACCCACCCTACTCTCCAAGAACTGTACTTATCCAGAGCAAGCAGAAGGGCTGCCAACATCACTCTGGACCCCTCACACCTAGCAATAAAGCTCTTTCTGATTCTGATTCTGATATGTTGAGTTTGATGGTTGTCTCACATTTTCCCACAACAACATTAAAATAGTGTGCATTAGATTAGTCTACAATGTTTTCGATTTATTTTATAGTCATTTGACATTAGATTTCTTTTAAAGTAAGTGAAAAGTTACTTTCCCTGCTAATTACATTTATAAATATATAACTGTATTTGTGAAAAGTAACTAGTAACTATAACTAATTACTATTTTAAAGGAACGTGCCCAAGGCTGGTTATAACAATGAGTCTAGTTCGCAGAAATAACTAATTAGTTGTAAATCTGAAGACAGCTACATCATCAAGACTCAAAATATTTTAATACATTTTTTCATTAATTTTCTTTTGGGCTTAGTCCATTTATTAATCTGGGGTCGCCATAGTGAAATGATTCGCCAACTTATCCAGCACAGGTTCTACGCAGCGGATGCCTTTCCAGCTGCAACCCATCTCTGGAAAACATTCATACACACTCATTCACACACATACTCTACGGAAATTTAGCTTACCCAATTCACCTGATACACATGTCTTTGGACTGTGGGGAAAACAGGAGCAGCCGGAGGAAACCCACGTGAACGCAGGGAGAACATGCAAACTCCACACAGAAACGCCAACAGAGCCGAGGATCGAACCAGCGACCCAGCGACCTTCTTGCTGTGAGGCGACAGCACTACCTACTGCACCACTGCTTCGCCCCACATTATTTATTATTATTATTATTATTATTATTATTATTATTATTATTATTATTATTATTATTATTATTATTATTATTATTATTATTATTATTAAATTTAATACAGTGGCGTCTCAGTGGTTCAGTGGTTAGCACTTTAGCACTGTCACCTTACAGCAAGAAGGTTGCTGGTTCGAGTCCTGGCTGGATCAGTTGGCATTTCTGTGTGGAGTTTGCATGTGTTCCCCATGTTCGCTTAGATTTCCTCCGGCTGCTCCGGTTTCCCACACAAGTCCAAAGACAAGCGCTATAGGTAAATAACTAAATGGGGTATATGCACATATATGATATAAAGGGGGTATCAGACCAAACAAGAAGCAATGCACCATGTTTTTAAAATATGGAAATTCATTTGACTCGTTTTTTCAATGGAGTTTCTGCACTCGCCTGCTGCTAATGACGGCGCCTGCGTTTAAATGGTCTTTCGTCTTTTTTACACTTGAACAACTAAATCAATGCTTAAGTCTATTTAAATGAATGTATTGCAATTACATTACAAAATCGATGCTGTAAAAGAAACCTTATGAAACTCAAAATAATCACAAAAAAGCTCTCACTGGAGGTTCATTATTGGTTGAAAAACATAAGCTGTGCATATAGCCTATTGGTTGAAGTGTGTATGTGTGTGAATGTTAGGTCAATCACTGTGTAAAACATATGCTGGATAAGTTGGCGGTTAGGCGACGCAATGCAGTAGGTAGTGCTGTCGCCTTACTGCAAGAAGGTCGCTGGTTCGAGCCTTGGCTGGGTCAGTTGGCGTTTCTCTGTGGAGTTTGCATGTTCTCCCTGCATTTGCGTGGGTTTCCTTTGGGTGCTCCGGTTTCCCCCACAGCCCAAAGACATGTGTTAGAGGTGAATTGGGTAGGCTAAATTGTTTGTAGTGTATGAGTGTATGTGAATGAGTGTGTGTGGATGTTTCTCAGAGATGGGTTGCAGCTGGAAGGGCATCCGCTGCGTAAAATATATGCTGGATAGGTTGGCGGTTCATTCTGCTGTGGCAAACCCTGGATTAATGAAGGGACTAAGCTAAAAAGAAAATAAATGAATGAATGAAGTTGGCGGTTCATTCCACTGTGTCAATCCCTGATGAAGAAAGGGACTAAGCTGAGAGAAAATGAATGATTACCAGTATCTCATTTTTAGATTCTGACTGCATAATCCAGATTATGTAATCAGCAATTACAGCAGTGTTGCTGAGTTCTTTCTGCTATCTTTACTGCTCTCAAAACATTATGCCACATTCACACGGGAATGGCCGTTCTGTTTTGTAAAGAGAGAGAATGTATAATAGAAAATAAAAAAACAATGTGTGAAGCAAATCAGTCCTATCAAACGACTGTATAAGACTGATCCATAGGGAAGCATCCTACTATAAACTCTCAGACATTCTTCATCTAATCTATCTGGATGCAGTGCCTTCCTTAAAAAATCCGAAAGCTTAATGCTTAAACATCCACTTCCTCTCTAAAGCCCTCAGCTCTGACAACACACAAACCATCCCCCACCATATATACTAACTTCCAGAACCCCTCAATGCAACACAACACAAAAGTCCCCTTGCTACAAAGAAGCACTTCAGCCACATCAGGGTCTTTGTCAACACAAGCCTCCTCACAGATACGCAGAACAAAAACACATCTGTGGAGGCGAGTAGTGAGGTGGAAAGGTGGGCTCTTTGAAATGGGGATCAGATGCTCTTTCTTCCAGCCGTCAGACGGGCAACTGGTCACAGGGGTGTGAATGAACCTGAACTTCAGGCTGCTGAGAAATCCAAGCAGTGTGTGTGTGTGTGTGTGTGTGTGTGTGTGTGTGTGTGTGTGTGTGTGTGTGTGTGTGTGTGTGTGTTTTAAAGGGTCACGAAACACCAAAACACATTTTTTGAGCTGTTGACAGTGGTATATGTGTCCCACACTGCTAAAAACACTATTAGGACATCTATATTTCACTAAAAAGTGTATATTGGTTGTTTTTGCGTTATTTCAATAACTTACGTGTCTAAGGAGGATTATTGTTTACCTGAGAGCTGTTCTCATCTGCAAACGCTGAAATCCGGATTTGCTTGTAGTCTTCTCTTCATAAAGACGCGGCTCTAGTTGCTGGTGATTGTTCTGTCTCTACAGATTTGGTAAGTGAGCGACCAGTGCTCTTTGTTTATTCAGTTTGTTCGTATCGAATTAAGTTAACTATTGCACTGAGTGCAAACTTGTTAGCACCGCATTTAGTGACCGGAATAACACACGCGGCTTTCTGACGCTACCTGCCAAGTGCATCTAAGTTTCCGGGAATTGCGGAGCTTTTTTTTCTCTCATTCGCCGTGCGGTATCAAACATTGCATGAAAAATACACGCTTAGAGCAGATCCTCGAATCAAATATCGCGTTTGTCGCGAGGGGCATGAATGAATTCCCTGAATGAAAGAGTCAAACTGCAGTTAAAGTCCAACATTTAATAATCTGGCAAAAAATTCAACTACAGATGTCCATGTAGGTTAAACACAATGACTGTAAAAAATACACCATCACTTTCTCGTGTGTGTATTTTGACTGAAACTCGCGCGTGCCCAAATAGACACTCCCACACCATCCCACTTTAGTTCCTCCGACACTCCCCCCTAAACAGAGCTGGTCACGCCCGCTTTTCTGACTTTTTCCAAAGTAGAGGTGTGAAAACACCCTGCTGAAACGAGGGGGTTTCATGGCCCTTTAACATTGCTGAAGTCCTCATTTTTCAAAAGGCTTCTAAATCATACAAAATTAGGGTAGGGTTGGGGTAGGGCAATAGAAAATACAGTGTGTGTCAGAGGTGTATCGGATCACAGTTGATCAGTGATTCCTACAGATCACAACCCATGGTTCGGAACACATGTTACCTGTAGATTAACATTTTATTTACTTGAAGATTAATCCTAAATTTGTAACAACAGCAAAAAGATTGCCTCTTGCTTCATTCAAATAACATGTATGAAAGCATTTAGGCTTTCCTGTAAAATATAATGATTACTGAAAAAGTTGTGGTAGGTTATTTGGGATGTGGTGGGTTTCTTAGGTTATTAAAGGTGTTTTTTGTCACTTTGTGTTCAGCCTGCATCAATGCATTTAGTGTAAGCAGCATGATTAATCATTAAAAGGTTGGGATCTCAACACCCACATGACATAAATTATAAATGATGATGATTTGGATATGTTTACTGATCCCTTGAGTCGCTGCATTCAAATCTGTGTTTGAAAAATGCAAAAATCATTAATC